CTCTAACCCACCCAAATTTGTTTTTAAGTCAGAGCAACCTGAAAATTTGCTTAGGGGCAAAGTGGTCTTCTTGTCCACTTTTATTGGCACTTCTACAAGTGTGGCAAAAGTAGGTTTACAGCCGTTTATATGGAAAAGAATACAACAATTAATAAAGAATAACGAGAATAAAATTTGTGTTCTGCGTACTCACAACTGTAAGCCTACTTCTGCCCCACCCTGTATTTGAGCAACATGTTTCCGGGAGCTGATTTCTAGCTGTAGGTTGTGAGCTGCTGCTCATCTGAATGCCTAACAAATCTTGAGGATTAAAAATGCTTTTAAAATTCTAGTCAATAGTGACAGTGAAAAGTGATCAAGGCCACAAGGTTTGCTTTGTTGCTGTTGTGGGGAGCGTGTTTTTTGGTACCATTTGGATAGCAGAAGGGACGTAGTTGATAGTTTCTAAGCACTAACCGACAATGATGTCATTGAGAATGCTTAAATCTTTTTTATTTGGGGTAAGTTTCAAACAGAAAGTACTTCAGCAAAATGGGCTATCACTGTAAAACCGAGCCCTGGGAAGCTGACAAAAAAAGGGGAAAGGAAAATTTTTGTTTACAAGAGAAAAGCAAGTTTCATTTGAGATGGGGTCTAATTTCCCTAGTCATTTTTTTAAAATCATTACTTTGTGATATTTATTCTATGTGGCATGTTGCAAACATTTTAAATTATCATTATATTTTTATATGGCATTTTGTAAAAAAAAAAAAAATAATGCCCTGAAGATAAAAAACTCCTGGACCAATATTGAGTTATTAAACATTATTACTATTTACATTAAATTAGCAAAAGGAAAATTTTGCCAGTGCTTTTCAACTTTTTCTAATAATACTTTAAAAATATAGATAATATTTTTAAATTAGGCAAGATCAAAACTTCAAGATTTATTACTTATCATGACACATATTTTAAAGGTTAGTATTACAACAGAATTTTTCAATCAAAATCTAAAGAAAAGAATAGCATTTAGAATACCTGAAAATATATTTTAGAAATAAACACAATTTACTTGTTAGGTTTTTAGTAATTTCGGCAACTACTTGAAGAGACCAGAATGTAGATTTTTTTTAATACTATGAAATTTTTAAAAGTTAATGAAAAATTACATTCTAACAAATATACTATCACTATTTTTAAATATTTAAAAATATTTAGAAGATGCATAATATGTAAATAGTAATAAAATAGTAACATGCCACTTTAGTTTTTATTTGTGGCTCTTATTTAATATTACTGTGAATATTTTGTTAAATTATATCATTTTATTTTAACTCAGAAATTTTTTTCTTAAATGCAGCTTATTATAGTCAAGTTAAATTTTTTTTTAAATTAAGGACTAATACTTATACATTTAGATAGCAAATTCAGGAGATAATAGGGTTTATCCTTAAAATTCTCTTAATGTTGGTATAGATCTCTGTAACCTCTATAAAAACAATTACTGTGCTTTTATAATGACAGTCTATCTATATGAAAACCAGAAATCTGCAGAGGGCTCTGCTTCCTGGGGAGCTGACAACTGAATATTTGTAAGTATCACGTAGCTAGAACTGAGTCATATTCACATTTTGTACCCTCTAAAACCACGCCATCCCTCCTTAACTCTCAAAGCTGTGAAATTCATTAATTCCTAAACTAAAGTCCTGTAAAGTAAATGTAACTGATTAGCCATGGATTGGAAGATTCTAAACCTGTATTAAAATTTCCCTCTGCATTGATTCTTTCTATGGTAGTTTCTATGGAATAGCCTTTATTAATATTATTTTTATGTGTATCACATAGAACATAGAACATTTATTCCTATATCAATGCAAATAATTAGTTTAGTAAGTTATAATTATAAACCATGTTTTGAGTTACCTTTTACATCAAAATTGTAATCTGCTGCAGGTCTTTCTTTTAAGTCTAAAAGTTGGCAAAATGGGAAATTTTAAAAAGATTGTTTTCCTTTGAAAACGTTACTTATACATCCCAGATAAAACTAAGACAATATTTTTTCTGAAATTATTTTTAGCAACTTAAAAAAAATAAAATGCAAGAAAATTTCAATATGCCATATAGTTTCTGTTTCTTGTTACTAGTTTATGTATTTGCATGTAAAACAAAAGTACATGATTTTATATGAATTTAAAAACCAATAAAAAAAATGTGACTAGTTCTAGAATGTATACTCTATCTTTAAAATTTATTAAAACATTGAAGTAAATGGAAGGTTTATCCTCCAACTAAAAGGTACAAAAAATCAGAGTGATAAAATGTCAACTTATTTAAATATTTGCCATTCAAACTAAAATTTTGTTATTCTGCTTTACAAATCTGGAAAGAGTTTAACTAAAGTAATTTTTAAATTTTTATACTTTGTTAAGATTGCTTTTAGTTTTTTAGCAAATGTTTTAAAATAGATTTCTATCCAGAATGTATATATTTCCATTGTTTTACAAATAGATATAATAGTTTTTTCAATTAACTTTTTCAAATATTTAAATTTTCTAAATCTTAAGCAATTAATATTTTCTCAATAATTCCTTGCTTTTCCTGGAAATTAAACTTTTAACTAATGAAATAAGCTCATTTTTATTTTAGTCTTTCAAGTATTAGTATTGCAAATATCAAGAATTTAAGCTGTCCTAAAAAGCATAAGAAGAGTTTTAAATATTTACAATAATTTTATTCTTAAGTAAAACTATTTATAAATTAGAAATTAGAAATAATTCATACTAAAATTTAGTGTTTGCCAATGATTCCTTATGGGAGAAAATAAAGAATTACTTTTTTTTTATTTCCCTTTGTAATAAGTATTAGTCTCCCCATTTCACAAAAGAATTATATTTGTTTTTAAAATGTGTTAATTCTTACTCAAAAGTTTATTTTGGTCTTTTTAATGCTTTTTGGATTATTAAGGACAGATTTAGGACTAAATTGACAATGAACTTCTATAGTTATCAATTTGCCTTCATCAAAATGTTCCTGCTTGGCAAAATTTAAACAAAATAATTTGTAGAGATAACATCCCCTTTTTCTAATTTTGTTGTTTCTTTTAAAATAAGGTTCATATAAATATGTGGTAAAATTTCTTGCATGCTTACAACATATTTATAAGATGTCATTCCTAAAAAAAATATTTTATTCATATCTTCTTTTTTTCTGAACTACAAATCAATTGCCAAATTGATTCTTTAGTAATAAAAATTTAGTTTTTCAGATTGTTTTAGAATTATCTATTTTTACTTTAATTTTGAAAATATATTCAGTCAAAAAAGGTATAATTACATCATTTTAAACAGTAACCATCAGCTTAGTATGTAAGGATTAAAAGCAGTATTTTGCCACAGGCTTTATAAAAGCTTTATATTAAGAGTTTAAAATATTGAATTATGCCATCTTGAAAAAAATCTTTAAATATTATCAAGCTGTAATGAAAGATCTTAAAGGTTAATTTAGAAAGTTTTTAAATTTTGGTTTTGTTTTCTCTTTATACTTCTGCAATCTAGCTTTACAGAGTTTAGGTTTTTTGTAAACTGATACCAGCCATTTCATTTCTGATATTTGGAAACATTGTTTGGATAATATTTTTGTTTGTAAAGCTGTCTCTTAAATTGTGTGTGTACCTGAACCTTTTTTAAAAAGCAATAATAAAATTAATGTGATTCTGTTTAATATATTCCACAAGTCTATATTTGAAGAATAAGTAAGATAAATAATAAGCTTCTTTTTTATATTCATTTAACTAATCCTGGTTTAAATATTGTGCTTCTAATTTTCTAATGGGACATATTGCAGACTGTGGCAGTAGTAATTTCTGGCATGAATGATTTTCAAATTTTGTTTTAATTTGACTATATGATATAATTCATTGGCTGTTAATGTACCCCATTTTTATCTAGAAATTTGCAGTTCAATGTGAATATTTACTTTAAAACTATAAAAATATATTCATCATTGATTTTAAAAAATATTTTTTAAAGATCATGTATTTTTAGCTGACTGGATCGATGTAATCACTTTAGAAATTTTGAACCTTTATAATTTCCTAGCTTGGCTTTTACTTTAGCATCTATCAATTACCTTCATGTGTACTAGACACACTGGTAACAATTCCTTTATTTAAATTGTGTAACTCACAAGAATATACAAATACCATGTGAACAGAACCATAGGGCATCATATCCAGCTGACAGCCTAGTGAATTTCTTTTATCTTCTGTTAAATGTGTCATCTCATCTGAAAAAAGAAAGGTACTTAGAAAGTTAGTCTTGAGAAAACTTTTTTGGGGGAGAGGGGATTCATTACTACATTTGTCTATCCCTCAGAAAAATAACTAGATTTTCTTGAAAGAGGATTTTCCAAGAGTTACTTTCTCTTCCTTTAATTTATATGCATTTCATTGAGGTTGAGTGCATTGGAAGAAAAGAAAAAAAGAAATGTCCGTGAAATTTGTTCCTGACTCAAATCCTATAGTTCTCTTCAAACTCTCAGGGTGAAGTTCAATTACCTGGTGACTTGATCAGTGAGGATAAACAACGCACGTAGTTCAGGCTTCTCCATTCTTCTTTCTTCAGTGAGGAAATTTTTTTTTCCTTTGAATTATCTGAATAACTGCTTCAACTCTTCAGTTCAATTTGCATGTCTAGACAGGAAACTAGACTGAATAAGGCTTGGGAGGACTGTGATTTCTAAAACTACTTAAAAAACACACACACAACACTGCATTTTGAATTGTAATTGTTACTATCTTCCATGTGTAACCTCACCGACTGCTTGCATCTGAGGCCTTCCAGAAATCTTGTGTCATTTTAAGCAGTCATTGTCCAGAAATATATATACTTTTTAAAACTTACCAGGGCCTGTTTTATTTTTTTCTCTTTTAAAAGCCCACCACAGATCTTAATTTGGCACTTATATACAGGAAAATATGACTTATCTCCCCCCAAAGCCAGTTTTTATGAACTAGTAAAAGGGTTTTACCTCTTTATACAAAAAGAAAAGGTATCTGGGATTTTTAAAACACATTGCTGTTTAAAGATAACTCTTTAAAGGCAGCTACTTAAACGCAACACTTTTTAGAGAAGAAAAGGAATGCAGGGATAGTTTCACTTGTTAAATGTAAGATTTAACTACATGTTGCTGAAACCCTTTTTTAAAAAGTTATTGATTATTTCATACGGCAATAAAATAACAGGCTATTTGAAAAATCATGTGGTTTGAAGAATATTCTTTCTTCCTTATTCTTTCCAATGGCTAAATGGCAGACTGCAAAGAGTTAAAAATATGGTCTAAGGTGGGCAGAAGGGACAAATTTCCAGTTATAAGATAAATAATTACTGGGGATGGAATGTGTAATATGATGACTACAGTTAACATTGCTGTACGGTATGTTTGATAGTTGCTCAGAGTAAATTCTAGAAGTTCTCATCACGAGAAAAAACATTTTATTTTATAAACACATCAGGTAATGGATGCTAACTAAACCTACTGTGGTGATCATTTGTAATATATGTACATCAAGTCATCACGCTGTACACCCTCACTTACATATGGTACTGTATGTCAATTGTATCTCGATAAAACTGGAAAATAAATTTAAAAAGGAGAAAAATACACGATTGAATCAGAAACTCTAATAAGCGTCAACTTACTGTTCAAACCATTGCTATTGCTCTATGGATGAAGCTAGACCTTGTATGGAATACTTCATTTTCGACCATTTTTAATAAACTACGCTCCCTCCAGATTAAAACCTGGAAAGCAAAGCTTTAGTCACAAGGTCCCCAAAACTGTATACATCCTTGAATTTTGTTGATCAACTGGGCTTATACCATTACTGAGCAACACTGTTTTTCCTTGTTGCAGTTCTTGTCCAGACCCACAAAGTGGAGGCTGAAAAACACGCTCTTTGGCCTCATGAATGGGGTTGTTCATTATTAATCAAGTTGAGCTGGCCAAAAGAAAACAAAAGGCAAAACAAAAAAGGTTTTGATAGTAAGCCTAGTAGAATTGTTAAACCCCAACCCATTAAACTTCATGAGATTGTCTTTTGAAAATGGTCCCTTTCCCATTTTGTTTTGGGCGCACCTACATATATTCTTTTTTTTTTTAAATATATATTTGTATTGGTTTCAGAGAAAAAGGAAAATGGAGAGAAAGATAGAAACATCAATGATGAGAGAGAATCATTGATAGGCTGCTTCCTGCACACCCCACACTGGGCATGTACCCTGGCCGGGAATGGAACCCTGACCTCCTGGTTCATAGGCCAACACTCAACCACTGAGCGACACCGGTTGGGCCCTACATAACTTCTTACAGGCCTCTCCTCCCCTCCTCAGAAAAAATTTTCCAGTAGAAATCCATTTTCCAATAGACTTCAGAACAGTAACTGAATGAAATGTCTTGTTCCCCAAACGTCGTGCATGCATTCATTTGGCTATCCCATCCTGTCTCCCTTCCTAAAACAATCCACCTCTCTCCAAGACCGGAGCCCATGCAACTTTATAAAAACCACAGCAAATCGTTTAGGTGCAAACCCTTTCCTGTTCGGGAGGAAAATGCGAAAGACTGGAGCACCCGCTGTATAACTGGTTCTATGACTCAACTCAACCTTTAGTCAGAGACGGCTTTTGTTTTCCAGAAGAGGAGCCTTCACAACTCAGCAGATGGAGATTAGCTAATATTACCCATAAGTGTGGAGAGCATTTCGGTGTGGATTTTCTAGTGCAGCCCCAATTCTAAAAAAACATATATATTATTCTTGCCCAGCCAACGTAGCTCAGTGGTTGAGTGAAGCACCTATGAACCAGGAGGTCATGGTTCAATTCCTGGTCGGGGCACATGTCTGGGTTACAGGTTCAATCCCCAGGGTAGGGTATGCAAGAGGCAGTCAATCAATGATTCTCTCTCATCCCTCTCCCTTCCTCTCTGAAATAATTTTAAAAAATTGTTAATTTTATTTATTTATTTTTGGGGAGAGAGGGAGGAAGAGAGAGAGGGAGAAACGTTGATTTGCTGCCTCATTTATTTATGCATTCATTGGTTGATTCTTGGATGAGCCTTGACTGGAGATGGAACCCAAAACCTTGGTGTATCAGGATAATAATCCAATTAACTGAACTACCTGGCCAGGGTCAAAATTATATGTTTAAATGTTATTCTTTAAAAAAAAAACACGAATTATTAAACATGCACTAACTGTTATGCAAATTTATAGTTCTGAAAGACTTTTCCTATCAACAGAAAAATAATTCAGGAAAATAGAAAGACATTCATCAGATTTAAAAATCCTCATTTCTAGTTGGCGATCTAGTTGCCACCATCAAACCTAGGAATTTAGAAAATATTTCTTTATAAGGGCTAGAAGCATGAGTTTTAAATTTTCAGTCCTCAGGCTCCTTAAAGGATACAATATTTGGTAACCAGGGTGCATTTTTACCTTTTCATTTTGAGACATACTGATGACCGCAGTCCCTTTACTCTGGATCTACCTATCACATATTCCCATTTTTCTACGTAAGCTTAAAATAACCAATCAGTTTAATCAATTCCATCAGTACTATGACGACTGGAACAGGGCAAGGCAGCTGTTTGCACAAGCGATTCCATCTGATTGGTCCATGT